TCAATGAGAGAAATCTGATTTATGCCAACCAAGGACAATATAATAGTTTTATTTTATTTTATTAAAATAACAAATTATTGAACACATGTCGCGTGGGATCAGCTTTAAAAATGACAAGATGCTGACTCATTTCCATGCCTCAACGTTGTTGCGTATCATAATTTGATTTCAGATTATTTCTTCATTTTCCTCCACCATATATATGATACCATATGCATCAATGTATGGAACCACATAAATAATTATGAGCCTCAATTCGAATTCTCCACCGCCAGTAGTTCGTGAGTTGACATTGAGATGTGGATAAGGATGGGTTTAATACCGTCATATTCAATTTGATGAAACAAATGTTCAAATTTAGTGGTACATAATCCAGAGTCGTCAACTCTAATGTACCTCGACAAATAAATTAATAGTAGTATCTAAACTTTCTAACGCAAAAAATATCATTACTGAATACATATAATCTATTCTAGTTGTCTATCGGTTGTGGACGTATAGTCGACTCAAATCCAGTCTTCAAATTTAGTTTTTCATGGATACAAAATTTGTCGAACATTGCACAACCGACTTAAATTTAGTCAACATTAAAGTTAAAATTCGGCTAAAAATAAAAGCCTGACTACTCCCTGAAACAAATCCAATAACAACATCCTTACAAGATCCCTCGTTCAGCAGACGGGGAATGCAAAATCCCTTCATAAAAGCATAATATGTGCAAGCCACTTTAAAATTTTTTGAGACTTGAGACTTTATAACATTTTGTGATTTAAGAGGAATCCTTGAAAATCGTAAGTCTTGGGGTGAAATTTCGCATTAGGTTTTTATTTATTAAATCTCATCAAATCTTAAACAGCCTTAATAAATTTCAGCGTTAGATAAGTTAAATACCTCGTGATTTGTTAAGATTTTATGAAATGTACCTCAATACTTTTAAAAGTCTTAAAAAGTTCAAATGCATACACTAAGATTCTTAAAGTCTTAGCAAATCTATAAGAATCTCAAATGAATACACCTTAACTAAAACTGTTATTTTCTTATATCAATGTATAGATATACGTACTAACAATCTAACATCAGCTTTATATTAGTATACACTTGTTAGGAGGATAATATATTAACTTACGGTAGTCCTACAGCTTAGTTCAGGCTAAACAAAAAACAACATGAGAAACTAAACTAAACAAAAAATAACATGAGAAGTGGAAAATGAATGATCTAATCTCGATTTTGGAAGAATGCTTCATTTAACATCTCTATCATGTGCATCGCATGTGTTACGTATTAACTTTGATACAAATAAAGATAATTTTAGATCAAAATGGGCATTGGTGTTCAAGGTTCATGTACAGACAGCTCGTGAAGGCCCATTCCTCATGACCGTTTAGTCTTGCAATTCCAAGATAATGCCATCTTTATCTCGGACGAGTCCAACGTGTCAGGCCTTTATCATACATAGGATAACGTATGATTAATCCAACTATCCTACCCTGTAATGCCTAACAACCACAATCTTATAGTTTGTGCAATTATATCCTTACATGACTTGGTTGTTACTATCCTTCAATCAAATTAGACTTTGTTATCTCATCTTATTTAAATACAATAATTTACAGAATCCACTGAAACCGAATCAACATTATTTAAAACAAAGAGTAGCCAACATTATTTGAACAACATTTATGTGTGTACGCATGATCAATCCGAACGGCGCTAGTTCTCAAGGGTAGCCAACTGGGCCGGGTGGGCCTAATATTCCATGTGGTTCAGGTCCAACATGTGAATGGCCAGACTGACCTAAAAGAGGGCCTAACATACCCTGAGGCCCAGGCCCAACATATGGGGGAGGCGGTGGAGGTGGTTCTGGCGACCCATAAATAGGTGAGGCCCGCGAGGGAAAAGATCGACGGCCTAGAAAGCAGTCCTCTATAAGCCAGCAGCAGCAGAATACATAAAAGCTGCAAAATCCAACTTTAATGTACATTTACCTATTCAATTCAATCACGCATAGTTGATAGTTGAATGAATATAGACACTCACTTTTTGTAACAATTTACATCCGTAGATCTCAACAATTGGATGATTGTGATTAATTGGTTTCATTTAAGAATGGAACCACTAAAAAGGAAGTGAACGGAATTGATCTATTCAGCCAAAACTTTCAAATTGAAATACAAAGTGAAAAGTTNATGTATCCGTATATATTTGATTTGATATATCTGATTCAATTTCTTATCGATTTTGTGATACTATTAATTATGGATTTGATTGATTAAATATGTGGTGAATTTGAGTTATCCATTTGATTTTCATATCATATATACGAGGAAATAATGAACCGTTATATTAATTTAGTAAAATAACTTTTTTTCTTTATACAACCTTTATAATTTCCCCACACAACTATTCATCTTTTATTTAAAATGTTTAATTTTCTTACTTATGTGGAATTGCTTATAAAAATTAAAAACTCATGGATACCTAAGCTAGCAAATATACAAAGAAAGTGCTGACCAGGAAGAGATAGCGGTGCACAAGTTGTAGCAAAAACCGTGGAGAAGGCCGTAACTCGGTTGCGAGCCACGCCAATCTCGGCCCGGCCCACTCGGTGGACTTACTACCTTCATTCCTTCACAATCGTAGAAATTAAATTTACAATTTTTTTTTTTTTTTATTTAAGAAAAGGCCTTAGCAGGTGAAGAGTTGTGCTAGGAGAGACGCATAGCTGAGTTATAATATTACTATTATTATTAATTATATTATTTTTTTGGAACGGTGGAATTTGAAGGGATTTGCATGTAATTGTATAAATATGTACACGTATCATCACTAGATTTGACTCAATCCTTGGTATTTTTCCTTTAAATTTTTTAAGTTAAGGATATTGATCTCAATTTTTTTAAATTTTCATTTGTCTACTCATCTATGTTACAAATACTAGTCGGTGTTTTCGGATTTGTCTACTAATCTATGTTACAATGTTGCACCGGACCCAATTTAGGTAATATTTTCTCTTTTAAATAGTAAATGTGCAAATATTATATTTTTTGTAGTTAGAAAGTGTGTTACAATGAAAGACTTAGTTTATTATTATTATTATTATTATTATTATTATTATTATTATTATTATTATTATTTTGGTAAAAGAATTAGTGAACCAAATTTAAATCCATGCATTTAAAGCAATTAGTGGTGATGGTGATCTTAGATGTGCATAAGATTATTAACATAAAAACTCCCAACTAAGACGATCATGAAAATTGAAAGACATTAACAGTTAATAACAAGTAGTTAAAATACAATCAAAAGTACATTAGAAGTCTTGAATCACTGGATGGAAAAGAGTGTAAGCAACTGATGAATACGAGATCTTTCTTGGAAAAATACAACCGGATTCTGATTTTTGTTTACTTATTTACTTGCATCTTTATTATTATTATTATTATTATTATTATTATTATTATTATTATTATTATTATTCCTTATCTAGTTATTTAGTTCTTAGGAGAATATTATCTTTTATAGAATAAAGACTTGTCTAACAAGTTATGAAATTAATAGGATTAGGACTCTATTTAATCCCTTCTTCGTGGCTTTAGTCAATTAGTCTGACTGGAAATAAAATATATCTGTTGAAGAATTTTATCTTCTTCACCCTTCGTTTGACGTTGCGCTACGTTGGCAACCATAAAGTACGAAATTTGATTTAGTGCATGAACGTGAAAATCATTTTAAACACGAATGAGCCTTAATCAACAAACGGACCTGGATCCTTCATCTCCAACCAAATAGTTTGAAATTTGAGCGTGAAAATCATTTTAAACACAAATGAGCCTTAAGAAACAAACGGACCTGAATCCTTCATCTCCAACCAAATAGTTTGAGAATTTATTTTTCTATTATACAGTTAATAAACAACATATAAAATGTAAATATAGTGTAAATATAGTCTTCTGTTCATTATATTCTTTGCATTTTTCGATTATACAGTTAATGATAAACGTTAGTGGTTTTATATAATACATATATATAAATATATATAGGACTAACCTTTACGTAGCGAAAGCGAAAACTTACCCGTATCTTTTATCCGACGGCTACTAGAGTCGTCGGTATCCTCCACGCTGTAAAACTTGAGTCGCCTTGATGGTTTCGGCTCAACAAGAGAAAAGCACTATATAAAGATTATATATATTTCTCTACTTGTTTGCTTGTCTCGTAATGTCTCTTTTTTAAGATGCACAAAGCATCAATTTATAGTTGTTTTCATACAACTATTCACTTAATGAAGACATGAATTCACACTTCATAACTCCATACATAATGGAGAGTAACATTTCCACCATTAAGTGGATGTTACAAATCAATTGATGCATGCAACATCAATTACAAACAATACTCCCACTCAGCCACTTAAGCCGAGACTATATCATCAACATAAATCTTTATTAACAAATCTCTTGCCTCATACGGGTAATAGAGCGTGCGACCATATGCAACAATAACAGCGTTATATTAAGTCACCATCTAACAAACATAACACTTTCATACTTACGACAACCTCTAACTGTTCAAAAATCATCAATAGCATACACAGTCCCTATATGCTATATACACAACATGGTTATATTCAGGGGCGGATCTAGCTCATAATATGAGGTGGGGCCTATTTGTTTCTAGAAAACAAATATAATACATCACAATAAAATATAAATACAAAATACACATTCATAGAAATTCTTATGAGTTTTCATAGTTTGGTATGACTCTACAATAAAGTTTTTACATTTTATCTCGGCCTAATAATATTATAATTCACCTCAAATATATTTGGAACAAAAGTAGCTAATTTTGAAGTATTTTCACATGCACTTTGTCAATACTATTTATAAAAATATTTTCTCCATAATTTGATACAAAAAAAATAAATTATAATGTATAAAATGTTTTATCAAATATATCAAACTTTTAAGAGCCCTACATGTTATCAAGCAGACAAATTTAAATATGTTAATAGTCTTTTAAGAAACAACATTCAATTATCTACAAGTTTAAATTTTTTATTTTTATATCAAATCTAATTAAAAAGAACTAGATTTACTTTCACCAAAATAAACAAGAACAATAATTTTTTTCCAATTATCTTTTATTTACTAATTGAGTATTAAATTATTTATTGAATATGGTATATAAGATAATTTTTTTTCCAGTGTGGGCCTAGGTCCACACTGGGCTCTATAAGTCTCCGCCCCTGGTTATATTCAAATATAACCGTCCGGACTAATGTGGTGAAGTTGAATAAGTTATTTCTTAGACACTAATGAAACTTCATCTCAACTTAGTTGATTTCTTAACATGTTAGTGTATCAATCATAGTTCTTGGAGGACATATTAAAGTAGCAACACTAAGTCTCAATTTCATAACATAGTTTTAAGTCAAAAAGCTTCGTACAAAGTTGGACAACAAAATCCATAGGATTAACACACTGACAAAGTAGAGAATCATTTGTCAATTCTTAACGGTCGTTCAAATCACACGCAATATGATACACGTGTCATAACATAGCTCCCAATATGATGGGAATGTCACTCTACTATGTTATAACGAATCTATAGTCTAGAAACAACTCAAGTATCAAACCCGAGCCACTTTATAAATATACTTAATAATCTATCTTCCACTCGAGATTCAGCTTCAAGGCTTTGATATGAAATCAGGATTACTTCATATTCGATTCGTTAGAGTCTCATCTTAGACTTACTAAGGCGACTGTAAAAAAAATATATTTATACAACAAAAGTATTAATATAATCCATACTACATACACGTAATATGACTATGGCATAGTCTCATCCTATTACTCACAACTAATGTGATAGGGCGATTGCCTGTGTGATAAGCGTAATCAAAAGCCTGGTGTCATCTTTACTCATGCCTAATTATGCAACATATCCTAAAGAACAACAAATTTTCTATATGTTCTGTGTAACATTATACACATCCATTATCCCACAAAAATAAAATTAAAACCTACGCAAAGCAAGACTCTTCACATGAGTTTGGAAAGCATCTCTGCGTATAGGTTTAGTTAAAGGATCTGTTATTATTTTCTTTGTGGGTATATACCTAATGACAACTTTTTTATTTTTTATTGCGTCTCGTACAAAATGATAACGCCTTTTGATAGCTTGGTTTTTCTGTGAAACTTTGAATCCTGGGCATACTGGATAGCAACATTATTATCACAATGCATTTCTACAAGTTCCTCAACCTTTGGGGTGAGGTTGAGATCGTGTAGAAAATTTCTTAACCATATTGTCTCTTGAACGACAATGTAACTGGAAACATACTCAGCTTCCATAGTCGAAAGGGCTATGCAATCTTGTTTTTTACTGCACCAGGATATTGCAACTCCACCAAATATAAAGGCATATCCTGAAGTTGACTTTGACTCATCCAGATCGCCACCCCGATCAACATCCGAGTATCCCTTTCGGGTCGGTGTTGGAATTTCAAGGACCCACCTTGATAGCAAAGTACCAAGTCACTTGTACCACGCATGTAGCGCCCCGTTTTTTTATGGATTTTTTAGAATTATTTATTATTGTTATTGATATTATTTATTGTTATTACTATTATTAATATTATTATTATTATTATTATTATTATTTAATGAATGCCTAATTGTGAATTAAATGTTTAAATGCCTATTATTAATATTATTATTAAATATTTTGTGTATTAAGTATATATTCGATTTTATTTTTAATCGCCAAGCGATCGAGAACTGAGCTGTAAAATCGAGCCCGAGAACTCAAAATCGAGCCTTATCATTTTCAGCCCGTAAGAACTAATTATTCCGGCCTTTTTGTCCAAGTATTATCGGCCCGTTAAAACCGCACGACCCGAACCTCTGGCCCGAAGACCCGCGCACCTCAGCCCAGCCGAACCGGACTGACCCGACCCGGTTTCCTCCTCTTTTGTGTGTGTGTGTGTGTGTGTTTTTCTTGGGAGACAAGAATATTAACCCTAACACGAATTATTCCTCTCGTCTCATTCTCGTTAATCTCTCGACCGCAGACACAAGAGAAAAATCTGCTCAAATCTCTCTTCTCTCTATCGTTAATCACATCGCACCCGCAGCTCCTCTTCCTTTTCTCCTCTCTCGTCTCTCACAAAGAGAAGTCGTCGTCTCCCTCACAAATCCCGCAGCCCTCGTCTCTTCCCCTTTTTCTCGCCGACCACTCTCCTCGCTATCTCTTCCGGCGAAACCCTCGGCGACCAGCGACACCCCCAGCGCCGAGCGCCGCTGCAGCTTCGCGAGCCCTACTCCTCGACAGCAGCATCTCCCGCGAGCTTCTTCCACTGTAAACCAGTCTGGCGAGCTCTCCTCTCGCCATATCTGCAGCAACCTCCTCCACCGGCGATCCCGTTCGCGGGTAGGATCAGTCGCGAGACCTCCGCAGCCCCGACGATCTCCCCTATCCGCGACCCCCTTTTCTGCTGGCGAGTCATTCACCCCGTGAACCTGCAACTCTGGCTAGGGGTGAGCATGGGTCGGTACGGTTCGAAGATTGATAAATCTCCAGAACCGTACCGAAGTTCGGAGATCACTAAAATTCGATCTCCAGAACCGTACCAAAAATCAGTTCGGTTCGGTTTTCGGGACTAT